TCTCTCTATATTATGCACTAATCTATCCCTATCTCAACTATGTTATCTGTGCATGGGGTTCAACCACTGCAAACCACCTCAAGTCCATCATCACCCAGCAAAAATCTGCTATCAGAATAATATCAAATTCTGCTTTCAGACAACACTCAGCCCCCTTGTTTAACTCCCTAAACATGCTAAACATAATCTCACTCCATAAATTCTCTTGTGTCAACTACATTTACAAAACCCTGTTCTTAAATGCAAATCCTGCTCTGAAACTCTTCCTGGACAGATGTAATAGGACCCATTATCACCACACCAGAAATAAATATCTCTTTGATATCCCCAGAGTTAAACTTAATCTGTGTAAACACTCTATGCAAATAAAGGGACCCAGTTTATAGAACTCACTCCCTATTGAATTGAAAAGCTGTCCAACTTTTACATCATTCAAAATCAATACTAAAAAGTACCTTATTTCATCTTCATAGTTTTTCACTTTTTGCCTTAAAATTGCACTGTATCTATTGCTACCCAATCTCCCAACCTTTATGTACCCAATCTGAACATCTTTACCATTGTGATCATTGCTGTCTTATATGTGCTGTCAATCTGCTGTATGGTGTCTATTAATCTTGTTTAAATTACTAATCAAGCTGTCAATGTAATCAATCAGAGCTTTAATATAACAATGTGCTTTAATATACTTACTAAGCTCTCACATCTCATTTTTCTCTTGCAATGTATCTTTATCATTTATCAATTCTGATAGAAATTAACTACTTAAAATTATCTGTTAGATTAAGGACCTGCCCGAAACGCTGCGCGTACTAGTGGCTTTACAAGAGTGTAAATACTGTACTATCCAATGTATTCTCACAAACCCAATGTACCTTCTTGTATATATATAAATAAATAAATAAATAAATAAATAGCCTTTGTCACATCCAACTCTAGCAAGAGCTTCCTCACATCCCCACAGGTATTCTCAAACTCTTCTAGTGGTTTCTGGTTAAATATTCCCTCTCTTATCTCTGGAACTTCCCTTTGCTCTAATGTGAAGACGTCCTGGAATTTCTTATTCAGTTCTTAGCACACTTCCTTGTCGTTTGTAGTGAATCTGTCTGCCCCTATCCTCAATTTCATTTCCTTGTTTCTTTATTGTTGTTTTTCTCCTGATGTGGCTGTGCAGCAATTTAGGTCGAGTCTTAGCCTTGCTTGAGATGTCATTTTCGTATTGCTCTTCTGCCTCTCTTCTCCCCCTGACATATTCATTCCTGGCACCCTGGTATCTTTCTCTGCTCTCAAGTGTCCTGTTATTTCGATAGTTTCTCCGCGCCCTTTTATTTTGCTGCTCAGCTAGCTTACGTCTCTGATTAAACCATTGGTTTCTCATCTGCATTTCGTTGTTTTCCTTTTGGACCGGGGGTTAACTTGTCTGCCGCCTCCTTACACTTCTGCGTGAAGTAGTCCATCATGTCTTGGGTCGTCTTTCCTCTGAGCTCTCTTTCCCATGGTATATCTGTTAGGAATTTCCTTATCTCCTATAGTTTCCCTTTCGGAATGCTCGCCTTTTGTTTTTAGTTCCCCTCCACGAGTTCTTTAACCCATCTTCAACCAGATACTCAAACGTCAGTACACTGTGGTCGCTCATTCCTACCGGGGTTTCGAAACCGATATCCCTTATGTCGGAGTCGTTCAGAGTGAAGACTAGGTCAAGTCTCGCTGGTTAATCGTTTCCTCTCATTTTTGTGGGTTCCCTGACATGTTGGGTTAAGAAGTTTCTTGTCACCACCTCCAATAGTTTAGCTCTCCATGTATGCTCACTTCCATGCAGTTTCTTGTTCTCCAAGTCTATCCTTCCATGATTGAAGTCCACCATGATGAGCAGATGGGATCTATTTGTACAGGCAGCAGAGGCTGCCCTCTCAATTATAGTGTTAACTGCCATGTTGTTGTTGTTGTTGTCATACTTTTGCCTGGGTCTTCTGTCATTGAGTGGAGGGTTATATATCACTGCTACTACTATTCTTGGTCTTCCCATTGTCATGGTGCCTGTTATGTAGTCTCTGAATCCCTCGCAGCCCAGGATAGCCATCTCCTTGTAACTCCATTCCTTTCTCATTAGTAGGGCCACTCCACTCTCTCCCCTACCTTCCCTCTCTTTCCTTATTACAGTGTAGTTCTGGGGAAACACCGCATTCGTTATGATTCCTGAGAGTTTTGTTTCTGTGAGTCCGATTACATCTGGGTTCACTTCTTGTGCTCTTTCCCTTAGTTCACTTGCCTTGCTTATAATTCCTTCTATTTTCGAGTACATCACCCTAAAACTGACTCTCTTCTGTCCTTCCTCATGTTCTGTCGATTTCACTGAAGCAGGGAAACAGGGAGGGGTCCGAGAAGGGAGGGCCTAGGAAGGGGGACCTGGGGGATCTGGATTGTGCTGGGGCTGGGATGATCTGGTAGGGGGGTGGATTGGGGGAGTACGGGGGGAGGGAGAGATTGGGAGGGGAAGGCGGGGGGGCAAGGGGGAGCAGAAGAAGAGGGAGGGCTGAGGGCGGTGAGGAAGAAGGGACGACCCTCTGTGTGTGTGTGTGTGTTCTGTATGACATTAATCATTTTATATACAAAAAGGTTACATGATTAACAAAAATGTATACCTTTTACTGTTTTAATCTTTGTATGTGATATAATTTGTTAGTGAAAATTTTAAATGTTTACAAAATTTAGAGTTAAAATTTAGGGTAAAAAAATGTAATTATTTCATTATCTAACCTCATCCATTATTTTGTATAGTCAAAATTATAGGCTCTACATTGTGCGGAAAATATTAAGTAAAACAGATAGATTTTAGAAATAGTATCAAATTCTACACTTTATGCACAATTATATGAAGTATGAAGCCACTGTTGCTACACTGCACCATCCAAGTTAAAGGCAAACAACTGGTTCTTCCATATATCTTAATACTGTATACACATGAGCAGTAAAACATAAACAAGGATATATAAAGAGAGGTTCGAGTTACTGTGGAGTGTACCTGATGATATATAATTTAAGGGAATCAACAGAAATATAATTTTCAGTTGTCTTGGAAATCTTACCACTCAATAAGAAAAGGTTTAACTATGAGTGGAACTACACAACTTGGACAACTTGGTATACCAAGTACCACACAACTTGGGAAACTTGGTATGCCAAGTACCACACAACTTGGACAACTTGGTATACCAAGTACCACACAACTTGGACAACTTGGTATAACAAGTACCACACAACTTGGGCAACTTGGTATGCCAAGTACCACACAACTTGGGCAACTTGGTATGCCAAGTACCACACAACTTGGGCAACTTGGTATAACAAGTACCACACAACTTGGGCAACTTGGTATGTCAAGTACCACACAACTTGGACAACTTGGTATAACAAGTACCACACAACTTGGGCAACTTGGTATGCCAAGTACCACACAACTTGGGCAACTTGGTATGTCAAGACCTATAGGGGCCTGACAGCTTGGCAGACAGCGCTCGGGATTCGTAGTCCAAATATTCAGGGTTTGATGCTCGGTGGAGGCGGAAACAAATGGGCAGCGTTTCTTTCACCCATGATGTCCCTGTTCACCTAGCAGTAAATAGGTACCTGGGAGTTAGACAGCTGCTATGGGCTGCTTTCTGGGGGGTGTAACAAAAAAAGGCCTGGTCGAGGACAGGGCCGCAGGGGCGCTAAGCCCTGAAATCATCTCAAGATCTCAAGAAGACACAAATATGCTAGTGAGGTTTCCATTTTCGGTTTAGTTGACATGAGGGAAGCCAATAGGAAGCCTCAGCTCGGACTGTGCAGAGTTTATCATTAGATAAAACTACCCATTTTCCCTTCAAGGTGTAAATAAGGCTTAATTATTGAGAAGAAATCTGTGAAAGAATTGCTGATTGAAAGGATTCGAGAATAAAGGGCATGACTGAATTTCAGATTTTGCTGTACCCAAGAAAACTTAACTTGTTTGTGTTTACTAAACAAAATACAACTAATATTTCATTTCTGTAACCAAAGGATTGGCTTGTGAAAGTATTTAATAGCCAGAAAGGCATTCAAAGAACCTAAAACATTATCAAGCCACATTTATTATAGTAATACCAACTTTTTAAGGCGATATATAACTGCAAATAATTATACACATTAAATACGCAGGTAAAGTTGTAAGAAAATGTGAATCTGTAATTCAATATTTCAGAGAGCATTTCTTTGAAACACTAAGAAAGGTGAATGTTTGACTTCACACAACATGACCTCACAAATGTGAGTAAATGGGAAGTTGATGATGGAATGTTTGGAATAGTATATTGGAAATATATTTTGAAGATTGAGCTTGAGAAAAAAATAAATAAATGAATATTAACACTAAAAGTTAAGACGTACAATTTGTGTAGTGGATATAAGTCAACTATTTATAAGTTTAAGTAAGGTGGGTTGTAGAATCTCGTTAAGTACGAAAGACAATACCAACACCATCAATCATGAGAGGATAAAGAAGGGTTTGAGCCTAACATAAAGACTGAGGAACCGGGAGGTGCAGAGTACTGACACACAAGCCTTCATGATGTATACTTCCAGAGTGGGAGAGTCGGTAGTAATGCCGACCACCCCATAACCAGGGCATCCATAACCTAATCCAGCATGAAGCAGGAGTGATGCCGTGGGTGTTTTGCTGCAGTTTGACGGATGATACCGTATGATGCTGCACTGTGTTGGATGCAACATATGGTGAATAAAAATTGTTATTGGGGTATCTTTTGGTGGTCATTTTTGTCATTTGTGACAATTCCTCTGCACTGATGACTCCCATGACAGTGGGACAGGGGGAAATAATGAGAACAGAAATTATAAAGTCTGCTTTGGCAGGTGACTAATCCTAATTTACAATAATATTGAGGATCATGTAATCCTCAACATTTGCCAATCAGTAATACTGATCCGCTCCTTGCATAATGTGTAAATACCATTAGAATACTCACTAGAATCAGAGCTTGATCATCTTTGCTGAGGTCAATGTTGTAGGCAGCCTGGATCATATAGTCATTAAGCTGAATATGGAATCCAGCGAGCATGTGGAACGGATCGTCTTCCAGCAGGTAACTCACCGACATCTTGGAGGCCACCAGTGACCCAAGGTTGACCTCGACTTCAGCTTGGAGGGCATTATCCGATTCCTGCATAATTATCTCCATAAATAACGCCTGTCAACTTTATATTTTTACGACATTTATTATTCTATTTTGTGAAAATTTACTAATTTAAAATTTAGTTACACACACAACACATATCCAAAAAAGTATAAAAACGGTCGGTTTACTCTCTAAAATCAGACATTATATTCCCCCACTCTGCTCTCCTCTCATTATACTACTCGCTAATCTATCCCTATCTTACATACGATATGTGTGCATGGGGTTCATCCACTGCAAATTACCTCAAGCTTATCATCACTCAACAAACAATCTGCTCTCAGAACTATAACAAACTCTTTCTTCAGATAACAGTCAGCACCTCTGTTTAAGTCCCTCAAGATACACTTACATGCTAAACATACACTCACTCCACACATTCTCATGTGCTATTTACATAAACAAAACCTTGTTTCTAAATGTTAATCTTGATCTGAAACTTTTCTTTGATAGGTGTAATAGAACCCACGATCTAGTACTACACCAGAAATAAATGTCTCTTTGATATACCCAGAGTCAAACTAAATCTGTGCAAACACTCCATGCAAATAAAAGGACGCAGTCTATGGAACTCATTAATAAATTAACAAAATTTCCAACCTATGCATTATTCAAAAGTAAAAACCAAAAAGTACCTAATTTCATCCTAATTGTTTCCTTCCTTCTGCTTCAAGCTCTCACTGTACCTTGTGCCACCCATCCCCAAAATATTGGTACTCATGACACATATCTTTATCAGTGTAATCACCTTTGTCAACTTATATTGTAGTTATATGTTGATATAAAATTTTGCTACAATGTACCTTTTCATCATACCTGATATGTTAGATTAAGGACCTGCCAGAAGCGCTATGTGCGTTTTGTGACTTTGCAAGAATGTAAAAATACCAATCTTATGTAATATAACCCATTGTTCCTTCTTGTAAATAAAATTATCATTATTATTAATATTATTACTATAATTATAATAATAATTATTATTATTATTATTATTATTATTATTATTATTATTATTATTATTATTATTATTATTATTATTATTATTATTATTATTATTATTATTATTTTGAATAATAACCCACACTTGTGTTTTTGTAAAATTTATGTAAGGAATTTACACCAAGTGTTTCACACTCCTGAGTGTTATGTCAAGATGTGAGTGTGTGAGTGTGTTAGGACGAGACTTATACCTCAACGTTTAATGAGGCTGCTAGCCGTTGTTGTTGTTGTTTTAGATTCACCTACCGGAACAAAATTTCCATGTAGCATCGAAATTTCCATACGGTGGGCCCGTTAGAGGAGTCGCTCTGGAGCCATTATCAGTATTAGTTGCTGATACTGGAAATGTTGGGATGGGGTCCAAGGACGCCCCAGTGCAAACAAAGATCGGTGAAATGATAGGGTACACATGTCGCTCACAGCTGAGTGCCACGGGAGTCAGCAGGGCTGTCGGCGGGCTGGCCACAGTCGGCCGGTCAAGGGGGAGATGTCTGGGTGTTACAAGAACATTGGTTTCCTAATCCCAGTTTCCTGATGTTGGTAGCCTGATGGAATTTCCTTCATTGGAGTCGGTCAAGTCTTCGAAGTCGGTCGAGTTTTCGGAGTCGGCCTCGTCGTCCAGGTCATCTGTCCCGGGGGTTGCTGGCTTCCCTGTCAGTGGGACAAGCTCGGGGACTGCGAAGTTGTTATGGCCGGACGGTGATGAGCTTCCTTTGGGTTGGTTCAGGGAACCTTGGGGCGGAGTGTCAGGTAGCAGTTGTATAAGCTGGAAGAAGGTACAACAGCTGTCGGAAGTCCATTCGCAACGAGCAGCTATTCATTTATTGAGATCTAATTTTAATTCTCCAGATGAACACCTCTATTACTAACAACTACAGTTCCCAGAATTGCAGGATTACAGAAAGAACACATGACCATATTCCCGTAGAAGACTCCATGGCAGGTACATCGGCAGTCGTGAATAGAGTTGACCTGGCCGGGTGTTCGAGAAGGTTAAGAGGACAGGACCCAAGATAGCAGCTTCATTAGACGTTGAGATGTAAGTCTCGTCCCAATCACACAAAGTAAATTCCTTACATAAATTTCATATATATATATATATATATATATATATATATATATATATATATATATATATATATATATATATATATATATATATATATATAGAGAGATAGAGAGAGAGAGAGAGAGAGAGAGAGAGAGAGAGAGAGAGAGAGAGAGAGAGAGAGAGAGAGAGAGAGAGAGAGAGAGAGAGAGAGAGAGAGAGAGAGAGAGAGAGAGAGAGAGAGAGAGAGAGAGAGAGAGAGAGAGACAGAGAGAGAGACAGAGAGAGAGACAGAGAGAGAGACAGAGAGAGAGACAGAGAGAGAGAGAGAGAGAGAGAGAGAGAGAGAGAGAGAGAGAGAGAGAGAGAGAGAGAGAGAGAGAGAGAGAGAGAGAGAGAGAGAGAGAGAGAGAGAGAGAGAGAGAGAGAGAGAGAGAGAGAGAGAGAGAGAGAGAGAGAGAGAGTTAGGTTATCAGAAAGCGCCAAGCCATTACGACTATATAGCACTTGGAAGGGATCAGGATAAGGATTTGGGATGGGATGTGGAGGAAGGAATGGTGTCCAACCACTTGGCCGTCGTTGATTGAACGCCGACCTGCATGAAGCGAGACCGTCGCTCTACCGTCCAGCCCAAGGGGTTGGGAGAAGCCGTGTAAACGTAATGGTTGTATACCCCCAGGACGAGCAGGTGACCATTACTGACCTTGTATATGAGCCGGCCCAGGTAGTCTTGTGGCCACTGTGGACTGACGAAGCTGAGGCTCAGCTCCAGGTCTCTGGAGTCTCCCTCCTCCAGGTCCCTCGCCACCAACCTCGAGCTCATCTGCCTCATATTACGTCCTTAATTATTCCTCCAAGACTGACAATATTTAGATTTTTTCCCAGTAAACATTATCACTATTAAATTGTAATTTTATGAGAAGTTAAACATTTTACTTTCCTACACCAGCAGTCAAACTGTCTCTATATTTATATTATGTTACAATATACACACTCGAATAATGGGATACTCTGTACAGATGAAAAAAATTTTTTTTGTCTATATTGATAACTACCATCAAGTTGAGCTTCCTAATTATTACACTGAAATGACAAAATAATACCAGCTCATGACTACCATGTTGAGGTATAAGTAGCATCATGCGTATTGCAATGTTATGCATTGTGCTTGAAAATGGCTTAAGAATATTTCTTCAAGCATAAATACCACTAAGACCACATGAAGCGAGGAATCCAGCGAGTTCTCTCAGTAGGGGAAATGACTAAGGAACCCGTACTACTTTATGCAAATGAGACAATGTTTGGGATTTGGCACCGCAGATTATCTGGAGTGACTTCAGATACCAACTATTTTATACAAATGAGGCACGCAAGCCATGGTACGGAGTTGTAGTCGTGGGTTTTTCAGATCTCATGCACATCAGCAGTTCGGAGACAGGGTTATTCTGGCCTACTTTATAACAGTGAAATTTCGGCAAGTTCGGGCATTAGTTCGTGAACCCCGCCTCTAATCCTAGACGTTCATCCGTTTGCAATCATTTGTTTGTTTATTTAAGAAGTTTACAACCAGTACACATGTGATGGAGCCAAGTGATAAGCCCTATATAATTCTCAGACCCGCCTCGAGCCACGGGCTCCGATTCAACATTGTAGTCGTTACCAATCACTCAACTGCAGCGAAATTTAACACATCACACATGGAGACATCTTTGCTAGGCTCTAGTTCTAGGTCTCTTACTACTAAATGTCGTCTTCAGTTTATTGTTTCAAGGCCCATCGTTTAATATCCTAGTTATATAAAACAACACACTTGTACCTATGCTAAACTTTGGTTCGTCGACTCAGCGCCATCTCCTAGCTGTTTTGGAAGGTGTACATTCCCACCTAACCTATCCTAGTCTAACTCAGTGCTACATGACCTAGACTACCACATCAACCCGTCCATCTAATAGAGCATCGCATTTTTATGCATACTTTACCAAAGGCCAAAAATGTTGGTACTGGAAAATGGTAGCAGATTGCGAAATTGACATACTGTCCCGTTTTCTGTTGGTGGGTCCTCTGGTAGGTTAGGGTAAGGGCACTTTAGTATGACAGTTTCTTGACGTTGGGAATCTTAGGAAGACGAGCTGAGTACATATCCATCTAGTTACATTTTAACAGTACCTATATGACATGAAGTGAAGCCCCGATGAACCACGCCTCTTGTGGTATTTAACGTTGTAATTTTCTAATATAAACAATTTCACGTCAATCATTTCCTAATTTACCCGTAACTGTTCCACGACGTAAAGTCTTCTGGAACTATATATATTAAATTATTAAAATGATCAAGTTAATCTTTTTTCTATATTATTACAGGACTGCTCACCTATCATCCTAGGGATACTTGACGGGAATCTTGTACATGGAAACAGGTAGGAAATAGTCACAGCCTTCTTACTTCAGTTCTTATCTGTCAGACAATACTTCTGCTCTCTTCCATCTATACAATATCTCTAATTATTACCCATTTACCTAATAATTTATTCACATGACCCATTCATCACCAATCTTCATGTTCCATTTTACCTGCATCTGTTCCACGAGGCTTCGCTTTGTTCAATCACATCTAAGGCATTGTTAAACTTGGGTTAGTGTGCTGAGTCGGGTAACTACCTACATAAAGCTGGATAAGGTCCGGATAAGATGATTAAGTGAAGGTGTCCTTGTGAATTTTTGAGATCGTTTTATGTTTGTGAGTGAGAGTGTGTCTTGATGTGTTCGCAAATAACAGTGTGCTAATGAGACATTGATTATATTGATCACAAAACTTGAAATAATTTAACTGATATAGTAAACTAACATTATTGTGTACAGTGAACGTATACACTTAAGGCGTTTTAAAGTTTTGAAACTGTTTTATTATAGATAAATGATCAAACTGTGAAAATGCATGTCTGGGCGCATTTGATATGTAAGACAACTTGGAGAAGCTTGCTTATAGTTAATATCTATATTATAATTTAAGAAAGAGGAATATGTAGGTTCCCCGACTAAAATATTTGTACTATTTTCATATAACTGGGCCATCAGTGATGGGCTTTTGTTGGAAGTATTGTCAGTAAGATTGGTGTATAAGGCTGTGGGCGTAAGATGTTTAATTTTACGCCCACAGTTACTTACTATAAGTGTGGGTGAATGGAAGGGAACTATCAAAAGGTGCCAAGCCATTGCGACTATAGAGCACTTGGATATCAGGATAAGTATTTGGGATGGGACGGGGGGAAGGAATCGTGCCCAACCACTTGGACGGTCGGGGATTGAACGCCGATTTGCATGAAGCAAGACCGTCGGTCTACCGGCCACTCCAACCTTAATGCGGTGTTCTGTAAGAACCGGCTCACAGTAGGGTGAACCACATTGGTGTGGGACGCACAACCGTTCTTGTTCCAGTGCTCCCACTACGCCACACGAGTGTCCATCTATGTTCCCTCTTCTCTCCTAACTTCCTTTATCATATTTATAGGATAATATTTCAATGAAATCCCTTAGTTAACAATACATCAGACGTGGTTCAACAAGATGAAGCCTCATTGAACAATAATACATCAGACGTGGTTCAACGAGGTCAAGCCTCGTGCATCAACAATACATTAGACATGATTCCACAAGGTGAAGCCTCGTGGAACAAGATGTAAGTAAAATGTAACTAGATGGATATATGCCAGCCTAGATTACGCTGAGTTATACTGGGATAGCTTAGGTTAGGGTGGGAATGTATGCTTTAAGAAACAAGTAGAGCAACGAAATTGGGAACCAAGAACTAGAGTCTAGCATAGGTTACAAGTACAAATGTGTTGGTTTTAAATTTCGAAGAAATTTAATGATGGATGTTGAAACGATATAATGAAAACGGCATTTGGTGGATAGAGGCGGGGCCTAGAACTAGAGCCTAGTGATGGTCTTCTCTCCATGTGTAACGGGTTTTAAAATTCAGGGGAATTAAGTGACTTGTAAGGAAACAACAATGGTTAACCGAGGCCGATGGCTAGAGGCGGGTCCGAGAACTAGATCCTATCCCTGTGCCAGTCCCAAATATTTTAATATTTGATTTTATCGATTTTATATCGATCTTAAATATCGATTTTATATTTCAAACATTGGACGAACTGTTACAGAAGTAACAGTTCATATTTTAGTTGGAGTCTATGACCAGAGGCGGGTTCGGGTACTAACACCTGACCTAACTGCCTAGCCCTAGTTGGTTAGGCCAACATGACCCTATAGTTGGGCCTGAGTGAACCTTGCTGATCGGGTCAGTATGACCTAGCTGATCGGGCTTGCATCACCCTAGTTGACTGGACCTGCATGGCCCTAGTTGATCGGAATGGGATCAGCGCTGTAAATACTGAATTAACGTCCCTCCATCATTGTTCCCCTTCTTGAGTGTTTGCAGTAGTTCAATCATTGTTGTGGCACTGAGTGATAGGTTAAATCATATTGATGTATTTGTGTACCTGAGTACCGAGGATTGTAATATTGGAGTTTGCTTCTGCGAATCCTGGCCGGTATTGATAGCTCAGATCCATCATGGCTTCAGCTTGACTTGACTGCAACATAAGAAACTCTCCATGTTAGAATGACTTTCTTAATGAGTATTTAAGACTTTTAGTTAACAAAATAAAGAAAACTACTGAACATAATATTACAGCATCTATCAACATAAAGTTTCACTATTCATGATATTTAAAACAAATTTCAATATAATGCCTTACAACGCAAAATATTTACAACAAATGTCAATGCCTTACTGTGCATAATATTTACAACAAATTTCAATGCCTTACTGTGCATAATATTTACAAGAAATGTCAATATAATGGCTAACCTTGAATGCTAAATACCCGCGAGAGGTGGTGAGCCCACTCTCCAGGACGAGGGAGGAGTTGAGTGTGAGGGAGAGCGAGTGAGAGGTGGCCAGGTCGTGGCCGTAGTCACACGTCGCCTCCACCACCAGGTGCTCGGGGCTGACGAGGAGGCTGGCCCTCGTGGAGGTGAAGCTCCGGCCCAGAGTGATCTTGGCCGCTGCTGCGTGACGCCCGTCGCCGCGCTCCCACGATGCTGTCCAAAAAAACATTGTACATTATAAACTGTTACTACTGTTTCGAACTTTCCAAAGTTTGCAGCAAATGTATATTATAAATAGTCAGTAATGTATGAGATTTTATTACAATGGATGTCATAAATAGCTAATATTACCTTGAATATACATTGCTTGGTAAAATGATATACAAGTATTGAAAGGTTTTATTATAAGTTTATCAAAAGTCTGGAACTTAGCTTAAAATATTTTGATTTAAAAACCACTTGGGCTGGACGGTAGAGCGACGGTCTCACTTCTTGCAAGTTAGCGCCCAATGCCCGACCGTCCAAGTGGTTGGGCACCATTCCTCCCCCCCCCCTTGTCCTATCCTAAATCCTTATCTCTTCCAAGTGCTATACAGTCTAATGGCTTGGTGCTTTCTCCTGATAATTATCTTACCTATCTTTGGTTTAAATATATATATATTAAAAAACCATCCCATAGGATCCTACCCTACAAACACTGACGACAAGTGTAACATTTATATAAATCTTGGATTGTTGGATGTGAATGAGCGCCTTAAACCATTATACATACAAGAATGAAGGAAGCTGCGGAAGACACATTGACCCGCCCGAGGATAATTTTAATTACACTGCCATAAGCCATAAACACCAATTACACTCCAGCTGGTGCTCTTTACTACACCCTATAATACTTAATTAACTTTACCGTGTATGGTCCCTCACCTTGTGGTCCATCACGTGTAGTCCTTCACAATATCTCACCATAATGTCAGCTCACGTTTCCCTCCATTATGTTCGCCTGTAAATCTAACCCAAACTGTACACCTATTAAGTCTTCACGCTACTCCACAATAGCCCGAGCATCATCACTCTAGAATAATAGCCCCATGAGCCACAAGTACCACCACACACTACCATAACAGCCACAAGTACCACCACACACTACCATAACAGCCACAAGTACCACCACACACTACCATAACAGCCACAAGTACCACCACACACTACCATAACAGCCACACGTACCACCACACACTACCATAACAGCCACACGTACCACCACACACTACCATAACAGCCACACGTACCACCACACACTACCATAACAGCCACACGTACCACCACACACTGCCATAACAGCCACAAGTACCACCACACACTACCATAACAGCCACAAGTATCACCACACACTACCATAACAGCCACAAGTATCACCACACACTACCATAACAGCCACACGTACCACCACACACTGCCATAACAGCCACACGTACCACCACACACTACCATAACAGCCACAAGTATCACCACACACTGCCATAACAGCCACACGTACCACCACACACTGCCATAACAGCCACACGTACCACCACACACTACCATAACAGCCACACGTACCACCACACACTGCCATAACAGCCACAAGTATCACCACACACTACCATAACAGCCACACGTACCACCACACACTACCATAACAGCCACACGTACCACCACACACTACCATAACAGCCACACGTACCACCACACACTACCATAACAGCCACACGTACCACCACACACTACCATAACAGCCACACGTACCACCACACACTACCATAACAGCCACACGTATCACCACACACTACCATAACAGCCACAAGTATCACCACACACTACCATAACAGCCACAAGTATCACCACACACTACCATAACAGCCACAAGTATCACCACACACTACCATAACAGCCACAAGTATCACCACACACAACGATAGCAGCCACAAGTACCACCACACACTACCATAACAGCCACAAGTATCACCACACACTACCATAACAGCCACAAGTATCACCACACACAACGATAGCAGCCACAAGTATCACCACACACTACCATAACAGCCACAAGTATCACCACACACTACCATAACAGCCACAAGTATCACCACACACTACCATAACAGCCACAAGTATCACCACACACTACCATAACAGCCACAAGTATCACCACACACTACCATAACAGCCACAAGTATCACCACACACTACCATAACAGCCACAAGTACCACCACACACTACCATAACAGCCACAAGTATCACCACACACTACCATAACAGCCACACGTACCACCACACACTACCATAACAGCCACAAGTATCACCACACACTACCATAACAGCCACAAGTATCACCACACACTACCATAACAGCCACAAGTATCACCACACACTACCATAACAGCCACAAGTATCACCACACACTACCATAACAGCCACAAGTATCACCACACACTAACACTTGCTGTTCCTCTCCAGGAACAGGAAGACCCATACATGAATTTATTGCTCAGCCATGGAAGGAACTCAGGGAGGAAATGAGGGACATGAAGGACAGTATAAGTAAACTGCAGATGGAACTAAGTGCAGCACATGAGGAGATACAAAACCTAAAAACAGACCCTCCTCAGACTCTGGCCCAGGAAACAGGGGATGTAGTAGGGACACCTACAATGGGTGCCACCTTTGCTGAAATACTGAAGAGCCCAAATGCCATGTCCACAGTCAAGGAAGTTGTAATGAAAGCAGTAACCTTATGGGAGGCAGCTAGATGCACAAGCCAGCTAATGGAAAGGAAAAGAGCTGTAGTGGTGATGGTATTAAGGAACAAGAAGGAACCACAAGGGAAGAATGGAGGACTAAAGACAAAGCAGCAGTGTCAGGGATATTAAAGGAGATAGGAATGGAAGGGGCTGAATGAGACATTGAACAGTTTTCCGGATTGGCCTGAACAACAAAGACAAAAATGAGATCGATCAAGGTAGTATTCAGGAACGAGGCTACCAAAGAGAACATACTAGTAAAGAAGAGCAAACTGAAAAATACAAAGAATTACAGAGAGGTATACCTTCAGAGGGACATGACCAGGGTCGAGATAATAAGGGCAGCAGATGCAAGGAAAAGACGTAGGGAGAGGGAAGGGAACCAGAGATCAGCTTCCATCCCAGCACTCTCAGAGGGAAGTGGGGAACCCCAACCCAGCAATTCAGGAACCCCAGAAGGGAATGCAACACCCCATAGGGCCCGCCTCCACCTCCAGCCCAACACCCCTTAGGGCCCCCCCCCTCCACCCCCAGCCCAACACCCCATAGGGCTCCCCTCCACCCCCAACTCAAATCCCTCCTTGCCCCTACCTGGTCCAACAAATGGCTACTGAAGTTCAACCCGACTAAATGTAAGGTAATGAAACTAGGCAATGGAAACAGGCGGCCAGACACAGGATACAGAATGGGAGATGAAGTTCTTCATGAAATGGACAGAGAGAAAGATCTAGGAGTTGATATCACACCAACCCTGTCTCCTGAAGCCCATATCAAAAGAATAACATCTGCGGCGTATGCGAGGCTGGCTAACATCAGAACTGCCTTCAGGAACCTGTGTAAGGAATCATTCAGAACCTTGTATACCACATATGTAAGTCCAATCCTGGAGTATGCGGCCCCAGCATGGAACCCGTACCTTGTCAAGCAAAAGGTGAAGCTTGAAAAAGTTCAGAGATATGTCACAAAGGCTAGTCCCAGAACTAAGAGGCATGAGTTACGAAGAAAGGCTGCGAGAAATGCACCTCACGACACTAGAAGACAGAAGGGTAAGGGGAGACATGATCACTACCTACAAAATTTTCAGAGGAATTGACAGGGGTAGATAAAGATAACCTGTTTAACACGGGTGGTACGCGAACAGGGGGACACAGGTGGAAACTGAGTACCCAAATGAGCCACAGGGACGTTAGAAAGAACTTTTTCAGTGTCAGAGTAGTTAACAGGTGGAATGCATTAGGCAGTGATGTGGTAGAGGCTGAGTCCATACACAGCTTCAAATGTAGATATGATAGAGCCCAGTAGGCTCAGGATTCTGTACATCATTTGATTGACAGTTGAGAGGCGGGACCAAAGAGCCAGCGCTCAACCCCCGCAAGCACAATTAGGTCAGTACAATGCCAACCATATCACTTAGAACCTCCTTCCCCCTTACCCTGAGTATCCCCTGCCTTCCCATCCTCTGTTTTTTTTCCTGCCACAAGCAAGCCCAGGCAAGACCTAGGCCCTCCCTCCCCCCAAACCCTTGTTAACTACACCACAGGCGAGCATGCCCTCACCCCAAGCAACCCCTGCCCCCCAACCCCAAGTACTCCTTGCCTCCCTACCCTCAGGACTTCTTCCTGTCCCAAGCAGGCCTGGGCAAGACTTAAGCCCTTTATTCCCCACCCCACCTCCCCCTGAACCCCTGGCAACTTCCCTAAAGGAGGAAGGACCTACCCAAGTAGAAATGCCCATGGAACAACTTCCTACACTTGTAGGGAGGGAGAGTCAAAATGGATAAAGGAAGTGAGCTTCAAGGTAATGTACTCAAACATCGATGGGATTGCCAATAAAGCAAGTGAACTGGCGGAAAGGGTGCAGGAAGAAACCAGATGTAATAGGACTCACGGAAACAAAATTGTCAGGAGTCATAACAGACGCAGTGTTTCCAAAGGACTACTATATAGTAAGGAAAGAAAGAGAAGGGAGAAGAGGAGTGGCCCTGCTGATAAGGAAGGACTGGAGCTTTGATGAGATGGAAATTCCGGGCTGTGACCGATTCAGAGATTACATAACAGGAACTATGACAAAGGGTGGACCTAAGATAATAGTGGCAATCATTTACAACCCTCCACTAAATGACAGAAGACCCAGATAGGAGTTTGATAGGAACAACATGGCAACCAATAATATAATAGAGAGCAGCTTCAGTTGCTTGCAGGAATGGCTCCAGACTCTTAGGGAGAGGAGAGCAAAGTAGGGTACATCTCTCTTATCTTAGAGAGTATACCAACTGCTTTAGAAACCTTTTTAGTTATGCATTGTATGTGGGTGCTGAAGTTGAGTCTCTTGTTTAAGTACAGGCCAAGGAACTTTCCATCATTTTTATTGCTAATGTCTACATTATCTATCTGAAGCTGAATTGCATTTGTTGATTTGTTTCCAAATAA